TTTGGTAGATGAGGAGAATTTGGAGAGAGGGAGATTTGGAGAGAGGGAGGATTTGAGAGAGAGGAGATTTGGAAGGAGAGGCGAGATTTGGAGAGAGGGAGATTTGGAGAGAGGGAGATTTGGAGAGCAGGCGAGATTTGGAGCAGAGGGAAATTGGAGAGAGGGAAATTTTGGAGAGAGGGAGATTTGAGAGAGGGAGATTTGGAGAGAGGGAGATTTTGGAGAGAGGGAGATTTGGAGAGAGGGAGAATTTTGGAGAGAGGGAGATTCTGGAGAGCGGGATATTGGAGAGAGGGAGATTTGAGAGAGGGGAGATTATGGAGGAGGGAGAGATATGGAGAAGGGAGATATGGAGGAAGAGGGAGATTATGGAGAGAGGGAGAATGGAGAGAGGGAGATATGAGAGAGGAGAAGGAGAGGATATGGAGAGAGGGAGATATGGAGAGAGGGAGAGAAGAGAAGGGAGGGAGAGAAGAGAGAGGGAGGGAGAAAGAGAGAGGGAGGCAGAAGAAGAGAGAGAAGGGAGGGAGCAGGAGAGAGCGAGAGAGAGAGAGAGGAGGAGGGAAGAGAGAGAGGGAGGAGGATGAGAGAGAGGGAGGGAGAGAGAGAGAGAGGGGGAGAGAGAGAGAGAAGGGAGGGAGAGAGAGAGAGAGAGAGGGGGAGAGAGCAAGAAAGAAAGATGGGGGGAAAAAAGGGGAGAGAGGAGAGAGAGAAGAGGGGGGGAGAGATAGAGAGAGCACGAAGAAAAATAAATGCATGAAGGAGGTGAAAAAGAAAAAAAATTGTAGGAAAGGCGAAAATAGGGATGTCGTAGCAACGAGATGCAATAACGAAAGGAGGGGGTCAAGGGCAGGAATAGAAGAGACGAAAGGGCTATCGGGGAGTGAATCGTGCCATTTGGCACAGCTTTCGAGAAAGTCGACAGAGAGGCGACCCCGCGATTTCCTCGATGTCGTAAAGTCAGGACGAAGCGAAGCGTGGAGGGGGCTGGCGCGGCGGGGTCCCAGGAGCGCGTCCCGGGGACGGCAGCGTGTCAGCGAGGTCCGCCGTCCAAGGACGGGTCGAGACCTCTCAACATCTCCGGCTCGCGTGACGGCCGCTTGGGAGAGGGCCATATGGCAGTAAAAGCACCAATACGCCGCGTGTAATAAAAAGGCTTGTTCGATTTGAAGGACTCGCTCCGCTGCACAAAAAACTTCGCCGGCGACGTTACGAATAATGCAGGCGGTTCGCGGGCGAAGTGGGCGGCGTCCGGTCCGAAAGCGAGCCCGCCGCGGCGCCGGAACGCGCTGCCAGGCCGGCGGGGCGTCCTGGCGCGGAAGGGACTCGCTTTCCGGGGCTGGCTATTGCCGGGCTCTTTGTGTGCGCTTTCGGTAACTCGAGTCGAGCGAGGGGATGTGAGAGCTTAACCGGTCGGAAAGCCAACAAAGATGGCTGGAACGGTATCACATGTCAGGTAATCACGGGCCGGGAGATACTTTTACGCTGTTCGCGAAAGGGAGAGAAGATCTGGGAATTCGCACAGAGGGAAGGGAAATTAACGGTTTTTCGCTCGGGTGCAGCCGGGGAAGGGAAGAGTTCTTCATCAAGGCGCGATGGAGGCCCCCAGCGTAGAGACACACGGGTTTACACTCCGGCAACGCTCTGGAGGAGCGGTAAATTAAAAAGCAACGTTTCTGCACGGAAACAATTCCAAAAAGTACGTTCACCACCCAAACAATACCTTTTTATAACTGCAGAGTAGCTACATTAATCTTTAGCTTCGCAGAAAATTGCATTCTGTTGCCTTGTTTTTGTCTCTGCCTTCTGTGATTCAAAACTACATGTTATAAATTTGAAAGTTGCTTTAATTTATTTGCCTTTTATATACAGTTGCGTATCGGTTAAAAGCTCATGGCTTTGGAGTTAGTAAATAGGAAGTATGAAAAATATATGTTGTGATGTGAGACTTTTATTACTAGTTTACGTCAACAGTGGTTTTAAATTTAACTGAATTTAATTCACACAACGCCGCTTGTTATTTTTGACAAGTTAACTTGACAATATCGCCACAATACGCAGGGATAAGACAAATTGGAATTGTCGCTCAAACTTTCTGCCAATTTATTCTTTCATTGGGAAAAATAACAAAGTACTTTATTTAAAATAGATATTAGGATTATTCTTTATAATAAAATCTTAGAAAGTCAAGACGAGAAATGAATAAATATGTGCATTCACTTCCACTTCTTAAAATCAAATTTAATTTATTTCAGTGATATTCAAAATGTAAAAAAGACATTTTGTCAACTTATGATATTAATTTATCTTAAGAGTTAGTTAAGACGATGTATTTCATTTCGAAGGGTGGAATTTGAAGATCTGACATTCTAAATAAACACGTTTTCAAAAAATAATTAGACCTACAACAACGCATAATTTTTCGCACTATTTTTTAATTCAACTTTTCCACAATTTAGAATGTTTATAAAAAAATAGATCGGTTCCTTTCTTTAGTAATTCTTGTTCTATTCATGGGATAATATGAGGGAAAAATTGATGAATTTTTTTAGAAAGTATCTGTGTCATAACTTCATTATGAACTTCAAAGCAGAAATTGCGCAAAAATGCTCGATTTATCAAATAATTATACGTTAAAAACATTTTTAAAGAGCTGCTTCTTAGAACAGATATTGTTGAAGACAAAACTCTCTAACTATAAATTTGTAATTTTGAAGTATTAAAATGTTGCAATATTAAAAAATACAGAAAGTTCGACGGAAATATGACTAGCGCCAATTTACTTTCCAGTGCTTTACGGTAATACATACGAGGGAAATTTTTAAAGAATGAATGGAGCAATTTTTTAGATCATAATGGTTTAAAAATTACCTACTTTTTACGCAATATTGTTCGCAAACTATTAATATTTTAGAAAAATAGTACAACCCTCATTTTAACATATCTCTTTAGAGAAAGGGTTTCACTAAAGAAAAACTAGCTATTTCAATATTATAATTGTAGGAAGATGCCGAACAAATTTTGAACCTAAGCAATTTTCGAAAAAATCAGGGATTGATACGAAAATGAGCCCTGTTCATTCTCTTCAGCGTTTTTTACACTACACAAGCTTAATCAAAAAGTTTGGAGTCATTTTCGAGAAAAAATTGAAATGATGTTGAGGCTCCGTGAAAAGTGCACCAAAAAATCAAAATAAAATCCGTTTCAAACTCAAAAGTTCTGGAGTTCATTTAAATCAATTAAGGAATGTCAATTTTGGAGAAAATCGGCCGAACGGTTTAGGCGCAAGGGTGTCCACAGACAGACAAACGGTCAGGCAGATGTTTTGCCGACAATCGATTTTTCGGTATCAAAGACCAACAAAACATGGATTTTGACAATACAACGTTAATACAGCAAGTAATTTACAATATACAAGAACAAGAGATATCCACGTTATAGCTTCCTTTGCCCGGCAATAAGAGATTTGTAGTTAAAAAAAACAACTTGCAATCTTGAGCAAAGATCAGCGTCCCATCAGTTGAGCTACGGGGTTAGACATTCAACTGGTGAAACTATTAAATATACATTTTATATCAAATATTAATAATAGATACATCTTGCGGCTACTATGCAAAAAATGCTAAATAAATTAACCACAAATATACATTATGAACATTCTGTTTATGTTCACATAAAATGTATCGAGAGAGATATATGGATTAGTTCGGAGGAAAGGGAATGGATGCCGTTTTAAATTATTAAATATTTTCTTCTTAAATATATTTATTAAGAAGAATAAATTTAAAAAACTTCCACACTTTGGAAATGTTTTTTTTAACTCCATCACCCCAGCAATTGGCGTATGTTACATAACCATTAATAATATTGCGAGGAAGTATATGCTGTTGAAGCACCATTAGTTTTCCCGCAGCATTACATAACTTTCTCTTTATTGCGTAAGCAGTAGCAAGAAAGTAAAAAGGCGTAACTTCACCACAAATGTTTTTAATGTAAGTAGTAGAGATTTCTTTTCGACACACTTTTTCAGTGCAGAATCTGGCTTGACAGTGAAGGGGCCACCTACACCTGCTGAAAGATTTTCTTATTGACTTTTTTACTTTCTCGTTTATACAATGATACAATAAATCAATGTCGATGTGCTGATGGAAATACACGTTTTCAGGATCCTTATTACTTAAAAAGTGATTTTTAGACACTTCTTTCTGTTTGTTTGCCCGTAATTGTAAAAAACACTAACGCCAACCCGTACACAGGATTTCCTTCAAAACTAATACTACCTAACAGATTTTACTGAAATCAAACCGCTGTGAATTTGAAGAATGTCTTGTTGTTTTAGGAGGTACTTCATATTAAGTCCTTTAGATATTTGCCGAATTTTCTTAAAAAAATACTTCTTATTGTTTCTGTAAATTTAGTGTTCGAAGAGAGTAAAGAGTAATTACGAGTAAGAATTTTTTAAAAATGTTCGAAAATACAAAACTGTAACTTTTTTGAACTTGTTCTACACAATTATTATTGCAGTTCGAGACACCTGCAATTATTTAACAGTGCTAATTTTTTTAATAATTTTATTAATTTTTTCGAACTATTAGTAGTTCTCATATAGCGTTGAATAAAATAGTGACAATTTTCCGCAAATACGTAGACAGGATTTTCTCAAAAAACGATGCCTTTTTTCTTGAATCTTTCTTCCTGCAAGAATACAGTACAAACGACTTATGGCTTTTTCGGACGATTTTTGCTAGTATCATAATATTACGGTACAGTTACAAATAATATTAGGAGAGATTATGGGCTGTTGTAGCATTACATGTTATTTATCCTATTGTAATATGCCCACAATAGTCACATCTGGTTGAAGAATGTTGAAGAATGTGGTATTGAGAGTTGCGGTTGCATTCTTGTGTCTTTACCTTTGCGAATACTAAGTCCATAATGCATAGAGTCTGGGAGCGTCCTGAGCCTCCGTTGACAAACGTGTCCCGGTGTGTGCGCAGGGTTCACCGGGCAGAACTGCGAGTTCGAGTACAACGAGTGCGAGAGCTCGCCCTGCATCAACGGCGGCACCTGCCTGGACCGCGTGGGCCGCTACGCGTGCGTGTGCGGCCGCGGCTACACGGGCAAACGCTGCCATCTTAAGGTGAGTCACCCCCACCCCCCACCCCGCCTTTCGTTGGGCCTAAGTTGAGCTGCCTTTTATAGATTGCAATTTGCCTTTGGCAATTTTTTGCCACAACTTTTCCATCGCACGAGTGACGAACATTTGGACCCAACGTGTAATTGTCAAGGCTCTTCGTATGTGGCGCCGCCTTCAGACAGCATTGCATTGCAGGTTTTCATTTACGAACATGTTCGCCCCTGTATGCCGGATGAAACATTGCGACTTATTTGAGACTTTGGATGTAAAATGTTTATTTAGTTCTCCCACACCTTCAACGTCACCTAGACTGATTTTCATCTCCTTTTGCATCTGAAGGCTTTCCTTCTAGGCAAGACATTTCAAGATAATTCTGTCAATCAAACGTTGTCACTTGGCTAACATCAAAACATCGTTCTTCCAAACGAGAATACTAAATTTGGCGATCATTTGGAATATAGACCAACATATGTACATGAATCTTCATTTAAATGTGTTGTTGCAAAATATTTTGTGTTCTCTTAAATGCACTGAAGTCCACATTCCACATACTCCTTGCATTACACTAACTTTGTAACTACATTAACTTTTCTCGCTGCTCTTAAATAAATACTAGTTTTTGAAGCACTTTTTACTTTCCTTACTTTTTACTCTTTTTCTTACTTGTGACATTTCAATCAATTATTAATGTAGAAGAAAACGTTAAAAGCAGACGAATGTAGGAATAATATCAGCTCTATTGAGATAATAGAAAATTGTACAAAAACAAGGAAAGACATAATTTTACTATCTAATTGTATCTAAAGAATCTAAATCTATTAAAACTTCAATTTGTTAGAAAATTACTCAAGTCATAAGTGAAAACAGTTTTTAATATGATGGAATACTTCAAATCTTTTATAGTACTACTTGAACGTGGCGTCGCCGACGCTGTAAACTGTTTTAAAAATATTTTCATGATTGAAAATTTCTTTCATACTTTATTTCTTTCTAGAGTAGCTATTACCATTATACTTCCCTTCAACAATTCCCAACATTCAATGGTCTTGCATGTTACCTTCATACGGGATATAAACTGGTAATATTGCAACTTCAAAATTATAATCACCGTAAAAACTACTTGAAGGTATTGATGATGCGAATAATTACAGTTTAGTACAGATGCAGGTTTTACGATTTTTGGTTTTATACACAATAATGCATAAATGTCACTTGTAAGCTGTTCTTCTGGGTTATTTTCTAATCATAAGGTAAGATCATTTTCAATTAGTTCCAAAAATGTTGTCACAAAATCTTATACAACTACATTTTATCTTTCCTTGGATTTTCTTAACACTTTCATATTTTTTCCTCTAATTTGTGAAGAGATTAAAATTCCACAAACTCAGTCTAATTTGTGTTTACTTCCACTTCTGCAATATCTCCATTAATAATAATTTGTATGCGAATCTAGATAAGCATTAAATGTGATTGTTTTGTCTTCTTTAAGAATAGGTTGTGGGTCACATTTACTTGAACATCGGTATTTGTACACTTAGGAACGCAAAAGTGAGAGAAAAGTCGACCGTAAGAACGTTTATTTATTCTCTAATATTACTCAGTTTTGTTTTCGCCGTATTCACTTGAAATTCTTCAAATTTAATAAGTTCCAAACAAACCTTTTCGTAGGCTTTTGTAAGTTTATTTTTGAAATATGGTATTAGGTCTATCAGTAAAAATTAATACGAAATATGTCGCGCGATTCACTTATTCAAATTATCTTTGAATTGAATTGAATTGAATTTGCCTTATTTTACGTGGCGAGACTCGGGCCATCAGGCCCGCTCTTCCGTCTGACCACGCAAATTTCGCTACGCTCCTTTCACCAACTAGGAGAGAAAGGAGGTATTTCTTGGGCGAGAAACAGGCGATTTGAATTTAGCTCAGAGGCGTCATTTAGGCTTGAGGATCTTTTACATGCAAGTAAATCTACGAACATGGGACAGCCGGCTTTACTTCCCCTCCGAAGGAAGGCGTACGAAGGATTTTTTCGCCCTTAAAAATCCACGGCTTCGATCGGGTTTGAACCCGCCAACTTGGGTACAACAGTCCAGTACGCTAACCGTTACACCATCGCCGCCGCCAACACCATCGCCGCCGCCTTCATCTTCACTTGATTTCTTAAAGATGTCAACATCAGTGTTGCCAATGCCGAGAAAGAAAATTATGACTTATGATTGAGCGAAAAATGCAGTTGGGTACTGAAGTTTAATCAACGCCAGCTACATAAGTCAATTGAATCGTTTATTTCAGAAACCTGTCAAACACCAAAATCTAAAATACGCGTAAGCGGCGGATTATTATTTCAAACAGGTAGACGCATAGTTAATTGCATATTTATATGAAAAATATTTATTTATACACTGCTTTAATAAATAAAAATATTTCGAAATCAGATAAATTGGGAGACTTTTTCTCAATTTTCTCGAAGTAAGGAATTTGGTGTTTGACGGGTTTCTGAAATAAACGATTCAATTTAGGTGGCGTTGGTTGAATTCCCGGCGTACTCTCAAAGAGGGCAGCGCCAATACACGCAAAACCACGTTTTTTGGACATTTATTTGAATTGTATGGCCGAATCTGAAAACAAATTATCATTTCCCCATCAGGAGACGGAGACGCGTCGAATGGCACATCATATGTCTCTATTGGTGCGCGGGAAGTTGTGTAGCAGTGAAAGACGGACCCGCACATCCGAACATCTGCACACTCGGAGATGCTCAAATTCTGAAAAGGAATTTTATTTGTTCATTAGAATGCTTCACAATTTTACCAATACACATTTATACACCTAGAAACGTAAATTACTCTCAATTTCTTAAAAAAATCACTGCAATATCAGAAAGCTGTATTTAAAAAAAATACTATTGAGCAAATCTATGAAGTCAAAAACAGGGCTTCCACGTGACGACATGTTACATCATGATTCAGTGCGGCATTGGCTGGAGTTTGGAGTGCACTCTCCCATACTACCGTGTGTCCACTGCTCTTACGTTTCCTGTCACTCTGATGATAAACGTTGCAACCCCTCTTAGTACCTTATGACCCTGCGCAATGCGGAGGGGGTGTGACAAACGATGTGTTTACATGGTGTGTGGGTAGATGGTATGTACTAAGTACTGAATCGCCAAGGCTATCATAGAGCGTTTGATTTCGAACAAATAGTTCATGTTCCATATTTCACGTACGCCTTTTTATTTTTCAATTTACGCCATGGCATTTTTTATTTTAAGCAAGCTTTACATAATATTCATTAGCACTCAACTCTGCGGCTTGCGTTTTATTGTAGGGGTGTGTTTATGTGGATTCCGCATTTGGAAATTATTTCGGAATTTATTGCAGCACTTGTCGTGTTTACTATCGCATTAGACGCGAGGTGTGTCCATGTTTTTCAAATTAACTGTAGCTCCCGAGGCAAAACCACCGCCGAACTAAAGAAAATAAATATAAAAACGAAACAGCGTGTCTGTGGGCCAGACTCTCCGTTCTATGCTATTGTGAGCGTTCACCACTCAGTGACACCCTCTCAGAGACAGACGCCCCCTCGTGTGAGGAAAACTTTGCCTTCTTTCAAATGCAACCAAAAATATGATTTAATATTGAACATTCAAATAATGTAGCAAACAATTTTAAGTAATAAATCACATTAGGCAATATAATAACAATAAAATATTAATGAATGTAACCAAATTGCACTGAGACTTGAAGGAGCACTATAATGAAGGTCATAATACTGTTTCAGTTGTAACATTTTTGACAATTCTCCTGTCCCCATTTGGTTGCTTGTAATCGCTCGAAGAAACTCTAAACACACCTGCCTTATTGTTTGATTGATGTTTTCTGGCGCGTCAATTGCTAAGATCATTAGTCTCGTCAGGGTAGTTCATATTTTATTAGCGGGAAGAAGCAATCGTCTTTCCCCGCTGAATGACGACATTTGGAGCCGATCTACACGTCGTCTTGCGGGGTTTCCCCTAACAAAGTATCTCCTAGCAGTGGGTCATAACAACTTCGAGGCCCCTGACGCCCACTTCGGCCGTGACGACCTCTAAGCCCCCGACTGGTCATCTGACACGTGCGGTAGTGTACTGCATGTGTGTGTATGTGTGTGTATGTGTGTGTGTGTGTGTGTGTGTGTGTGAAGAGGAGAGGATAGGACAAGATCACGTACGTTTGTTTGAGTTTTGATTTGGCATTCGCCCTGTTGATCGGAAAGCTCACGGAAAACTACCAATCACAGCAGCCAGCCGCTAGAATTTTCCTCGAGACAGCGTCTGAATGCGACCTAGCTAACAAGCCAGTATCGAAAATCCAACCACCTTCGGGACTCAAACCCTAGGACCTCCCAGTCAGAAGCACAACAGAGCCATCAGTTGATGACTTGAGCCACCTAGGACGGTAGGTAAGTTTCGTGTACTGCTATGTTCTGGAGTTGCGTGAGACCTCACGCTGAAGGTGGCAGCCTGAGACAGTTGGTCGTCTGCGGTTTGAAGGTCACGACTGACGAGTGGGGGTGAGCCGGCTGTGGGCAGCGCAGAGAGTGGCGACTCACAGAGAGGGTGCGATCGGCGGAGGGGAAGGAGTTGAAGGAAGGCGCGCGGACGGACAGTTGCAATCGAGTGGCACCGACCCGTCGTCAAAGATCTGTATTGTGAAAAAACTTGACCAGCGGAAAAGAGATTTGTGCGTGTGGCAGGGGTTTGTGGGAAAAAAGGTAATGTGCTTAGATTATAGCAATTTAGTTATTAAATGTTATTGTTGACGCGTGTGCGTGTCATTGAAAAACCTTTCTCTTAAGACACTCACCTACAATGTTGTTGCGAAAAGCTTCACGCAACAACACTCGGAAGGAAGATTTTTAAAACGGATCACATACGTACATGCTCGAGATTGCCGAGAAATTGGTACTTAGCGACAGGCTACCATAATTTTGCCGACTTACGTTTAATAACATTTTGACTCTTC